GTATTTTTTAAACACTTACCATTTTATTTACAACTACGAAACACAAACAACAAAAACTAAATCTACGAAATTGAAAAAATACTCGCCCTTTAAACTTACTATGTACTTCATCGTAATCATCATAATCGCAACTCATCATAATTCTACTGCTGAACAAAGGTCTCCCCAAAGTAATGCCTGTTTATCTTATCAGGTCGTTATTCCATCAGTAGGATGGCCGCTCAACACTGCCGCCGGTACGAGGATGCTAATCGAGAACCTTTACTTATTTATTTTTAAAATTTAGAGATTTGTCTATGTTTATTTCCGCGTTGTTAAGGGACATTTTTATATTATTTTTATTTCCTGATTTATTTAAAGACTTACAATTTTACACAATTTTATGTACACCCAGCGCGTACATTTATAACCAACACTGTCTGATAATACATATCAATGAAAGAAATTAATTTTAGACACTGATTATTATTGTTTTATCACATTTACAAAATGCAGATTTAAAAAAATTATCTTTTACTAAACGAAATAAATAACTTTGATTACGTATAACATCTAAATCAATTATTATCGATAATAACGATCCCGTGAAAAAAAATATTATAACATTTTAAAGTTATAATATTTTTTTTACTGAAAACTTAGTCACAATTTCTTAATTGTGTGGGTTATTAATTTTGTGAAAGACTATGATGTTATAAGCCCAGAAAATCGATCTTTTGGTGACTTAGTATAGTTCGTCGTCACAGTCCATTAAATTAAAACATTTTATTGTAACTTATCCATGTTTACTTATTATTGCTTCATTTCATTGAAATAGGTTTATGTATATCATTTTTTTAACTCAATAATTAAGATAAATGCTTAAAAATTAAACCAATAATGCTAAGTGAAACAGAGCCCAATAAGAAAGTTTCACCAGTGGATACGTAGGTACATATACGGGTCCATGGGTCACAGCAACCACTTACAATCAAATGGACTGTGTGTTCGTTTGTCACATTATCCTATAAAAAATTGCTTTAGTTATTTATTATAGTTTGATATTAAGAGGATGCAACTAAAAAAGTTCAGAAAAACATAACTGTTTGCTATAATGGGCAATATTAGCAACGATTGAACGTCCGTATTTATCATATAAAAATCTGGTATTTACTTAAATATCGAAATTTCAGTAGTTATTAAAATATTTAAACGAACAGTTGCCTTTAATTGGCTTGGCTGCAGAACCCCGGTTATGGCTCCGCCACGGAACAAATGCTTGTGATACCTAAAAATCATAAATAGGTTTTATTAAAAAAAATTTACAGCCTCTATAAGTCTAACTTCTGGATGCAACTGCTAGACGCAGACTCCTCTCATTTCTGAAAGTGATAAAGGACAACGAAGTGCTGGCGGACTTCACATGTATTAGAAATATTCCTATTTGAATGTTTATTCACGTTTAATTTATTTATATGACATACTTGCACGATACAGAAGAAGAATGCTAGTGTAAAAAAGACATATAACACTACATGTTAAAGACTTGAATTATGACGTTCTTTTAAATGGTGAAGATCTGAGCATATAGTCCGTTCACGTTAAGAAAATAGTGAGTCATCGTTGTTTACAGTGACCAGTTGAAGTCAGGCCTTCGAACAAAACGGTTGTGTATTTTGCGTGTTACTCATCATCATCATCATCATCATCATCATCATCATTACAGCCCTTCACAAGTCCACTGCTGAACATAGGCCTCTCTCAAGTAACGCCACAAAGCATGGTCCTGAGTCACCTACATCCACCGACTGCCTGCATGTTTTACCAGGTCGTCACTTCATCTAGTGGGGGTCGCTCTACACTACGCCTACCGGTACGAGGCTGCCACTCGAGAACCTTTCTTCCCCATCGGTTATCGGTTCTTCGAGCTATATGGCCGGCCCATTGCCACTTCAGCTTACTAATCCGTTGGGCTATGTCGGTCACACTGGTTTTACTGCGGATATCCTCATTTCTGAGTCTATCACACAGAGAAACTCCGAGCATAGCCCTCTCCATAGCTCGCTGAGCGACCTTGAGCGTTCTCATACGGCCAGAAGTGAAGACCACGTCTCTGATCCTTAAATCATCACTGGCAACACGCACTGGTTGTACACTCTAGTTTTCAGAGTTAGTCGTAATTTCCCGAACGCTGCCCAGCCGAGTTGAATCCGTCGATTGAACTCTCGGTCGAAGTTGGAATTACCTAGTCGGACTATTTGTCTCAGGTAAACGTACTCGTCAACAACTTCGAGCATAGTGCTCCCAACAACTACCGGCATAGGTGTGACATGGACATTGATCATGATCTTTGTTTTGTCCATGTTCATATTAAGACCTATCCGTTGGGAGACACCATTGAGGTCATTGAGCATAGTGCTAAGGTCCTCCAGCGATTCTGCCATAAGGACTATATCGTCAGCAAATCGAAGGTGAGTGATGTACTCGCCATTGATGTTAATACCGTATCCTTTCCAGTCCAGTAGCTTGAAAACATCTTCCAACGCAGCGGTGAAGAGTTTCGGGGATACAACGTCGCCCTGTCTTACACCTCTCGCGTGTTATTCGTTCAACATTAAATTTTGAAAATGAATACCTCACCTATTAGAAATAATAAAAGTGAATCAATAATCTTTACTAATTCTTCACTTTAAACTGTGTGATTTAAATGCGACTGTGGAGAGCACAGTAATAAAAACAGCAAGGGCATGTGGTGTGTCCGAAAATACTGTTTATAACAAATAATAGATTGGCTGCAAAGCAAAGGCAAATCCATGGACATGACATTTAAAAAAAGAATTATTAATGAAAGTTACCGAAATCGCCCCTCAATATAATAAATATTTAATAGATGAGACTGCCAAAAGTAATGGCATTACAATTCTTCGCCTAACGCCAAACCGTTGCAAATTTAATCCAATTGAATTGGTTTGGGCCCAAATAAAAAATTATAAATATATAAATATATATAAAATATAAACACTCACGCCTGTCACCCACAGGGGTAGGCAGAGACTACAGACTTCCATTTGGCACGATCCTGACACACCTCTCTTGCCTCCTTCACATCCATACACCTACGCATACATGCTCGTCGGTTAAGGGTACTCCTAATTTGGCCCGTTTTCAATAAATGGCCAATTTGGTCGATAAATTTTCGCCTAGGACATCCCTTTCTGACTCTGCCATTCACTTCTGCACCATAAATTTTCTTTTTCACTCTTTCCTCATTCATTCTTTCCACATAACCAAACCACCGAAACATTCCTTTCTTAATCCTAGTTACAACATCATCTTGCAAACCACACTCTTCTCTTATTACACAATTTCTTACCCTGTCATTCAGATTCAGCCCTAACATACTCCTTAACGACCGCATTTCTACTGCGTTTATTCTACTCTCGTGCTTCTTCTGCCACACCCAACTTTCACTACCATACGTTAAAGTAGGGACCAACACAGCATTGTGAATTGCCATACGTGCCTTTTTCGACACATTTTGACTCTTCACAATAGAGTGCAAGGCCCCATTTACTCTTTTTCTCTAAAAAATTATGTTGGTGCCAATAACTCCACGTTCAAAATGAGTGACATAAAAAAATCATTAGATGACGCAATAGCATTAATAGACGCTAATCGTTGGTGCTGCGACCACGTGATGCGCGAAGAAAATACCATGTGGAATTTGGATGACATCATGGAACTTGCAGAACAAAATTCTTTCATTATTTAATGTAACTGGAGAATCTAGCGATACTAATAAGTGATTTAAGTAATTTTAAGAAAATTTGTTTCCATTAAACTTAATTAAATGTTTGAAAAAAAATTTTTTACTCCACTGTGAATACACCATTACCCTAGTAGTTGCACTGATCACTCACTATTTTCTTAACGCGAACGGACTATAGTTAAATTCACTGCGTTGATTGCAATCAAAGTTGACACAAAGTTTTGACGCCTTTGATTGTCTGAAAGAGAACGCTGTATGTGCGATAAGGCCGCCAAATAGTGTACTTAACATGCTTTACAACGTTTTATGAGTCTTTTCAATTTGTGGTGTACACTAAAAGTTAATAGTTGTAAGTCATTCGTTTATTCAACTCCATATGACTAAACTAGCAAGTACGCTTGAGGTGATCGCTACTATGCTCGTTTTTTTAACTCAAGTGTACAATACTAGTACTAATTCAGAAAAAGTAAAACCCCACTGAGTCTCTTGTTGATTCTTCTCACGACAGTGGCTTATTTCTTATTTTGAAGGAATATTGAATAAATAATATTCTGTCCTATTCTATGCTATTTCTTTGTTGCTCGGGGCAACGGTGTTTAAAATCATATTCGTATAGCTTCCTGAAATATTTAAGCAGTTTTAAAAGTTTAAGTTACAGCCTAAGTACGTAGGAGGGGGCCTGGAAACAGGCCTCCTTAAAGTTTTGAGAGGGTTGTGGCGGCGCTGTCGTCGTGCCACAAGCGAAACACACCGAAGCCTTAATCGCGTTATCAAAGTTCCGAATCATAAACTATCACATGGAGCGTTGGCCGCTCCCCGGGCAAAAAACCTTGTCCAGCGGGAGATACCCCCTTTTCCTTCTACGGCCACAGAGTTTTACGGCTAACTAAAGTCCAACCCAGTACTGACTTATAGCGTGTTGAGGGACTTTACATGTTTTAATTTTTTTTAATTTCTCAGACATGCAGGTTTCTTCACGATGCTAAAGTCAGCAGGGAGAGTCGGAGAATAGCAAATACATTGACGCCACTAAAATACATCTTGTTAAATATATCCAAAAATATATATAGATTTTGCACATAAGCTCGAATAGATTTGATAACAACTGAAATACCTCATTATCTACATAATAATTAAAAGAGATAAAATTAATACGCAAGATTAGATTTATTGTTTTAACAGGTGTATTCTTTAGCAATAAATATAAAAGTAAGAGGGAAAATGTGGCTAGAGTATCTGCGAATCAGGCACAATGAAACTGACATTGCTGTTTACAGTAAGCTTTGCAGGTGAGTTGCTTTATTCTTAGTATATTGAAAAACATACATTTAGCGAATTATGTTAAAATAAAAATTAATTTTGTAAAAATTATTATATTGAGTTCTAACTAATTTTAGTACCTAAAATTTTGTTTGATGATTAAAATGAAGTCTAAAACAATACTAGAGAAGACATAGTATAAAAGCAGAGCCTATTTGATGGTCTGCAAGTGCAACCCAGCTACAAATTATTTGCCTGGCTATATAATTTTCAATATGAGTAATTATTCCCTATATATTGTAAAAGCATTTTTTTAATTTTTTTAGTTTATACGGCAAAAGCAGTACCTGCATTGCAAAATGTTAAAAATTATCCACGATTCATCGAATTTCCTGGCGGAGATGGTGTAATGCATACAGTCGATTTAGAAGCAAAGCCTGATATGGAACTACTCAATGAAATCAATAGAAACCCTGACAATAACTTGTATTTACTTTACACTAGGTAAGTAGTTCAAAAATTAAATATATAAAACTGTATTTCTTTAATCATTAACCAACTGCACATAGGAGGTGGTATTCAATTCGACTGCATGTTTTATTTATGTGTAACTCTAGGTGAACCAATTTTGATGATTCTATTTTTATTTGAAAGCTGATGCTTCTCAGGTAAATTTGATCAAGGTATGACCAGTATTTTTTGAGTTATTCTTAATAATACATATTTAATTGACTTCACATACGTTAATGATGTTCTCATTTTATTTATGTTGAAGTCGGTTGCAATAAATGTTTAATTTTACAATTTTTTTTATTTAATGTTTCATTACTACCCATTTGATTACATAACGTTTTTAATATTTGGTCACTCCTTAAGTAATTTTTCAGTTTTTGTTTTTCTTACATATCTATTACTGGCAACTTAATTCTTGGTCTGCTCTGGTCTGGTCATATTTTTCATAATTTACAACACAAAAATTCTAAATCAACATGGAAACGTTTACAGCATAATGTTTCACTAAGCTTTCGGTTTATGGTGTCCACATGCCTATAAGTTCCTAAAGGAAATGTATTCAAGACTATTTGTCGCATTTGCTAATAAGCTGTTCTGGTTCTTTTCTCGTTCAAAAGCTAAGTAAGCCTTTCAGCAAAGAAATGTAGCCATAGTTCTTGGCACTAATACTACACGGAGAAGGAGTGAATGATAATTTTTTAATTATGGTAATTAATATTGTATATTTTTTTAATTTTATATAATTAATAAAACTTTATATGTTTAATTTTTTTCAGGCGAAATCCAACATCTGCACAAACGCTAGTTATAAACAACGCCAACTCCGTCACATCCTCAAATTTCAATGCTCAAGTGCCTACAGTTGTTATAGCTCATGGTTGGCTTGGCAGCCAGTACAATAGTATAAATCCAACAATTCGAGACGGTAATTTTTTTTAAATTCTTTGAACCCTATTAACTAACATTACTAGTATTCCTTTCAACCAATTCCGGTAAGCTTAAAATGCTTGTGTTAGGAGTGGTTCACGACAGTAGTCGGATGGCGGATTCGTTCCCACGACCTTTGAGTTCGCGATCCATGCCCTGCCATTAGGCTACTATCGCTTTGAAACTGCATGTGTTTTATCATCTACGAGGAGTAACATGGAATGCGTCAACGGCAAACAATAATCATACTGACTTTCCAAACCCTTCGTAATAAAACGCAACACAGAATACACTTTTTCTTGGTGACAGAAATATAAAAATTGCAGGTACTTATATTACAAATAAAAATACAAAATATAAAAATATTTATTCATAACACAAGTCTCATTTACAGAGTTAGATATGGATCTCACCCTTTTAAGTTTGAAAAAACTGTATTAGGGAGGAGGGGAGGATGAGTCCGCTCTTCATTTAATCAGTAAGTCACGATAGATATGACTTGCCTGTTCACAACTCCTAAGCAGTAAAAGAGCCATATATCCAAGAACCATAATTTCGATTGTATTAAATATTGACTGTGCCCGTGACTTCATTCCCGGACTATGTTTGTTAGTAATTTATTTGATCAGGAGATTTATTTCTTGTGGCCATTGATAAATATTAAAAAAAAAATACTACTGCTGCAACTATAAAAGAAGTAGTATAGATATTTTCATATTTAAAAGCAGTCATTTCAAGTTCTATCAAGTGCATGGATGATTACAACACCAAGGGTGTTGTATCCGTTTAGTTTTCTATTTTCAACAAACTAATTAAATTAAATATTATAAGATATAAAAAAACGTATGTATGGAAAAGAATCTTTTTGTGTATACTTGGGAAAGAGGTGACGATAGAAGCATGATAGATTTCATAATTGTGGATGAAAGATTGAGAGGCGCAGTGGTAGATACAAGGGTTTACCGGGGTTCTAACGTAGGAACGGATCATTATTTGGTTTTATGCCGAATTAATGGTCTATTCAGGCGTTGGCGCCATCGATCATCTGTGTCTACCACTGCGTTACAGCGTATATATATATAGAACAGAAAGGTTACAAGAAGGTGAGAGAAACAAGTTCAAATGTAGACTGAAAGAAAATATAAGTGGTTTGGATGAATTATGTATGAAGGAGTTAGACTTGGAGAATGTATGGCAAAATGTAAAGAAAGGTTTAGTGGATGCAGATACCGAAGTATGTGGTGTTAGTAAGAGGAAGAATGAAAGGAAAAATAATATGTTATGGTGGGATGATGAGATACGTATAGAAGTTGAAGCAAAGAAGAGAGCATGGCTAGATTTACTAGCAACAAAGGCTGGTAATTCTAGCGGTACGAATGATGCTATTGAAAGAAAAAAGGCAGTCTTTAAACATCTTAATAAGAGAGTAAAAGAAGTAGTTGAAAGAAAAAAGCAAGAAAGAACGGATAAGAATGATAGAAGAATATCGGATAACTTCCAGGCAAATATTAAAATGTTCTGGAAACTTGTAAGAACTGCCAGGGGACATTCAAAACAGCCTATGATGAATGTTATAAGAGACGAGAATGGCTATATTCTGAAATATGAAGTGTTGAGTTTAAAGAGATGGAAGGAATATTTTGAAAGCGTATTTATGAGTGAGGAGACAACGTGTGTACTAAGTGAAGTAGAACTCCGAAAGAAGAGGAAAGAGGTAGCGAGATAAGTATAGATGAAATAATGAAAGCAATGAAAAGCATGAAAGCAGGTAAGGCTGCCGGATATGATAGAGTTTCACTCGAAATGCTAAGGGCTGGAGAGGAAGTCGTGGCAGACCTGCTGCACACCTTGTTTAATTTATGCTGGGAACTGAAGCGGGTACCGGTAGACTGGTGCAAAGCCGTGATAGTCCCAGTATATAAAGGAAAAGGGTCGCAGTAGGACTGTAAAAACTACCGTGGCATCAGCCTTCTTAGCATTGTGGGAAAACTGTATGCTAAGGTACTGATTGAAAGGGTCATGAAAGAAACTGATGAAAAAATTTGGGATGTGCAAGCGGGATTCAGAAAGGGAATGGGATGTACAGATCAAGTCTTTTCCATGCGCATGATCGCGGAGAAGTTTTTGGCCAAAAACCAAAAGGTTTTTTGTGCGTTCATGGACTTGGAAAAGGCCTATGAAAGAGTGGATAGGGATGTGCTATGGCAAACACTGAACTCATTTGGGTTGAGCGCTGGATTGATACAGGCATTGGAGTCTCCTTATAGGGACTCTAGTGCTTGTGTTAGGATCAACGGAGTCTACTCGGACAGGTTTGACATCCATAAATGTGTCAGACAGGGCTGTGTGGCTTCCCCGTGGCTGTTCAACCTATTTATGGACAGTTGTTTGCAAAATTTAAAAGTTGAATAATGCGGATTAAGAATGGGTGAGTTAACCATCAAATGCCTTTTGTACGCCGATGATCAAGTTATCCTTGCGTCGTCGGCGGCCGAGTTGCAAATGATGGTTACAATAATGAACAGATCATTAAAAGAAAGGGGTATGAAAGTGAACGCAAGTAAGACGAAGGTTATGGTTTTTGAAAGAGAAGAAAGTAAAACGATTTGTGAAGTAAGAATAGAAGGGGAGTTGATCGAGCAAGTAGATGAGTTTGTATATTTGGGCTGCGTATTTAGCAGGGATGGGAGGTATGATAAGGATATAGAACGACGAGTGAATGCGGGAAATAGAGTAAATGGGGCCCTGCACTATATTGTGAAGAGTCAAAATGTGTCAAAAAAGGCACGTATGGCAATTCACAATGCTGTGTTGGTCCCTACTTTAACGTAGTAGTAGTGAAAGTTGGGTGTGGCACAAGAAGCACAAGAGTAGAATCAACGCAGTAGAAATGCGGTCCTTAAGGAGTATGTTAGGGCTGAATCTGAACGACAGGGTAAGAAATTGTGTAATAAGAGAAGAGTGTGGTTTGCAAGATGATGTTATAACCAGGATTAAGAAAGGAATGCTTCAGTGGTTTGGTCATGTGGAAAGAATGAATGAGGAAAGAGTGACAAAGAAAATTTATGTTGCTAAAGTGAATGGCAGAGTCGGAAAGGGACGTCCTAGGCGAAAATTTATCGACCAAATTGGCATTTATTGAAAACGGGCCAAATTAGGAGTACCCTTAACCGACGAGCATGTATGCGTAGGTATATGGATGTGAAGGAGGCGAGAGAGGTGTGTCAGGATCATGCCAAATGGAAGTTTGTAGTCTCTGTCTACCCCTCTGGGTGACAGGCGTGAGTGTTTATGTATGTATATGTATGTAGATATATAAAAAGAAATTAAGTAACAAGTTAAAAATTACTATTATTTGTTAAATGATAATAAAAAAACACAGTAGAACAGTAGAATAGGCCATCACTTCTATACATCCCAGGGGTGAAATCAGAGGCGACTACGAAAAAGGCCAAAAAAATCTAATTGATTCGATTTAGGGCAGTATAATCAAATCAGGTACGCTAGAGGAAGACATAAAATATCCAGGCTGGCTACGGACTGCAACGTCAAATGTGCGAGACGTCTTGTATTACGATCTTACGATCGTCAATCTGTCAGCCAACCGTGACAATTATAGAAAATCACTTCTACAGTGGGAGAGGTCCATGTTTCGTAGTAAACTTTTACATGCTGATAATAAAGTAGAAGAAGAATATATTATTTTTTGACCTTTTTTGTTATACAGTAATGCGAAAAGTCTTCATTATCTGACCCTATATTATCAAAGCAGTTGAAGGTGAATCGTATGAAGTGATATCAAGGTTTAGAATGTAAGTTTTAAGCGATTATGGGATAAAACACCCTCTCATTACCTTATAACCAATGACAAAATATGTGTCCACTAATTTCTTTTACAAAAAGATTAATTTGTGGCATGTAATTTTTTTATTATATTAATAACGAAATTATCGACACTTATAAATCAAATCAAAATCAAATCAAATAATTTATTCAGTATCAGAGTTTTTACATAGCAGTGTTGTGAATGAGGACTTCTTTTAAGTAAATAAATACTTGTGTTAGAAATCCCCCCTCTCCGTAATATTGATTAACGAACACTAATGTGATACCTACTTACTTCAATACTTAATCTAAAAACATATTTTTAATTTACATGTTTAAAGTGTGTGTGTGTGTGTGTGTGTGTGTGTGTGTGTGTGTGTGTGTGTGTGTGTGTGTGTGTGTGTGTGTGTGTGTGTGTGTGTGTGTGTGTGTGTATGTATGTGTGTGTGTGTGTTTATGTGAGTTTGAGCTTTATGGGTTATTATAAAATTTCATTTAGAATAAGGCCCCAAGGGATTAAGTTCAGGTGAGTTTTATCATTCCTATTTTATTAAATAAAATATTATTTTTAAATCAAACTTCTATTGTATGTAAAATATAATCCAAGAATGTCTTAGTTTGAGTTCTGTAAGAAAGACTCAGTTTTATCATAACTCCAAGTTTTTAATAGTACTGTCAAACTCATTTTGCACTTGTATTTAGTCATTTGGTAAATGTTTAAAACTTTATTAACTTTATTATATAAATAAGCAGATCGAAACGTAAACTGCCTCCTAGCATAACCTGACTTGACTGTAGCAATGGGAGCTACATTATGCTTTCGTCTTCTAGATGGTTTGGAAGGATCATATGGAAGCGTTTTGTGACATTTTAGAATTATATTTAATATAATTGTAAGAAAGAATTGTAATACAAGCCTAACTGTAAGAACATCACTTATTTTGTATAGGTTTTCAGTAGGATACCTATAGGGTTTAAAGCTCATTACCTTTAGTATTGCTCTTTGTGCTCTTTCTAAATCGAGAAACTGCGTCTTACTAGCACCACCCCAGACTGGGATACAGGAGGTCAATAGTGACTGAGCCAATGAAACATAAATTAGTTTTAATAGTTTCTTGTCAGTAACATGTCTCAGCTTTTTAAAAACCCATATAAGTTTTCTGACTCTTCCCATCATTAGTTCTAGATGGGCGTGCCAGGATAACCTCTGGTCAACTACAACTTCCAAATACTTTGTATTGTTAACCTTGAAAATGGTTTTGCAAGAGCAATTTATTCGAAGTTTGTTACACTCATGAATTTGAATTTTGAAATTATGTTCAGGTTGCGTTGAATTATATTTTGTGAATGCTATGTAGTTTGTTTTGTCCGTATTCAATGTTAAGAGGTTGGATTTTAACCAGTTAGCTACCCTGACTAGCCCCTCCTCCGTGACTTGACGTACGGAATTCCATGTGTTGCCAGTGAAAACAATGGCAGTGTCGTCTGCATAAGAAAAAACTTGTCCCGCGTTAATACTCATATTGCAGAGGCTATTGATGTAAGTCAAGAATAGAGTCGGCCCAAGGACATTTCCCTGTGGGACATCATACGTCACATAAAGATTTTAATCTGTTCGATGTAAAGGAAATTTCATATGCGAAATATTTAACACAAAAATATGATACTTGCTTTGAAAAATTTAGTTTTCGTCTACTACATATATTTCCTTTAGAAAATATTAATTAAAAGTAATAAACAACAACTTCGTAATAATTTCCTGTAAATAAATAACGTTCGGAATGTAATACTAATAAAAATACTGTTTTTTTATTTATAGAATCAAAGTCATATTTTCTAATTGAAAGTAATTTATGCATATACAGTATAAAGTTATTTATTATAAATAGGATTTCAGTTCAATTGTGTCAGTGTTTTACTTTGGAAGTAAGTAGTAAAAAAATAGATTTTAGTAATAAAGCGAATAGTAATTTAGCGAATTATATTATTTTGCATTAAAAGAAAGATGCCGCTATTATCACCAGTTCTTAACAATAAAAGTTGAAAATATCTAAAATCGAGGCTATTGACACATTCTGCACTATAACCATTGGATCAGTAAGATAATCACAGGTCTCTAATAATTCAGAGCATAGATATTAAATCCATAGATTAACAACGGAAGAAGTGTTGTAGTAGCTCAAGAAATATGTGTCCGTATAGCATGCTGAGAACCTGAGTTCAAACCTAACCGAAACCAATGGAATTAGGATTGGCTCTTTTACATCAGATAAAATATGAATATGTCAACACATAGTAAGGCAGCGTGATAGTTCTTTTTTTATTTAAAAAAATACGTTACCTTCACACTAGGATTTTCTCCTGTATCGTAGGGTACTTAATATACATAAATTGCACACGGAAAAACATCCAGACCCAGAATAATTGTTTTTAGATCATAGAAACACTTGCATTACGCGGGTTTGGAAACCGCGGCTCTCAGCGCAACAACTAAATGCTAAATCACTGACCGAGCTGTCGATTTCTTCGACGTTCCACTAAGGTGGTTTTACTTTAATATTTATAAGAAGACATATTCTTTCTTATTTGTATAAGGTGCTTCAGGTATAAGTACATCAAAAATAAAATAATATTATTTAATATCATTCTACATTTAATTATTATTTATGAGATTAGATTAAAATGCACTTGATGATTCAATGCCTTTAAAGAAATTCGTATTTCAAAAAAATATAATCATAACTTTTGATAGAACAAATCGATTTTAATAAAACAAAGACGAAACGTAATATGATTTGATTTACTGATTATTACAAATTCTTCTTAAAATATTGTATATTAGACGTGATAAACAAACGGATAGATATACTGACAAATCACAAAATAGTAGAAATGAATTGTAATTAATTACTTATTTTTAGTCCCTCTCAATCATTTCTATCACATTTCTGTCAAAAAAAAAAACTAAGTTTACAATGTATAATTATCCGCAATTTACATTTTATTAAATGATATAGATATGGATGTATATAGATAAGAGTTTTAAACCATAACACCCATGGTCAATGTGTGATGATTCTAGTGAATACTAGGTCATATGATGAATATATCGCATTAACATCGGTTATAAGCACATATTCAAAATTCGAGATTATTTAGACGTCCGTTTATATTTCCGAAATGTCCCATTACGTACATACATATACACACAAACATACATAGAGGTCTTACCAATAACATATGCGTATCTAAACCTTCTTTTTATGTCATGAGTAAAATTTAAAACGTTTTTTTTCCTTCTTTGCAGCCTATTTAGGAAAAGGCGATTACAATGTCATCGTTCTGGATTGGAGGCGCCTTGCGCTGTCAGATTACGTAACAGCTGCATACGGAGTACCTGCTGTTGGCCGTGGCCTTGGACAGTTTTTAGCTTTCCTTAATCTGGTGACCGGTGCACCCTTTAGTTCAATGCATTTGGTCGGTTTTAGTTTGGGTGCTCATCTAGTTGGTAACGCAGGCAGGGAGCTTGGTGGGAGAGTAGCTCGAGTTACTGGTGAGTTAATTTGTTTAAATTTTAATGATAAACTCCAATTATTCCAACCACAATTTATTACTCATTTCTTGCGATGAATTTAGGTGAGATATAGATTTCAAAGATGATTCCATTCAACTTCGCCGAAAAATTCAACCTCTCGTTTGAAAGCTTAAGCTTGTTAAGAAAGTGTAGGTCCATCAGCATAATCAATAATTTGTAATATTAGTTACAAAAAGCTCAAACGTTATCTTTGACTGGAATAAAAAAATCTCTTAACGATAAAGTCATTGTAAAGTAGCATATACTTAAGAATTATTTCATCGAATTTAAAGCCATTATTCAAATCGCGTATGTAACATTTTGATCGAATGAGGTACAATTAGATAGGATTTCATGAAATAATTAGACAAACACTTGAAAATTAGGAAAAAAAGGAGCTCCTTAACATAGGCGTTCTATATATGCACATATATACATTGTCATTTGTCGGAAGCTATAAGTTCTTTCAGGTTTTTTTTCTATAGTCACCTTTCACAACAAAATCGAGGTAGATTTGGGTTATTGAATTAAATACGCCAGCACTACATGGCATGGCTTATTTGCTATTATAAAATTATTTATCTAGTGAAGTTAGAGCCTGTATACATCCCATCTTTTATAAAAGGATATAACACGTATAACATAATAATTTTATAACAGGTCTGGACCCTGCCGGTCCTTTATGGAATTATAACTACCAACGCCTGCGAGATACTGACGGTGTTTACGTTGAAGCTATTCACACTGACGGAGGAACTATGGGGTTGGGTATTGGCTCAGCTGTTGCCAATGCAGATTTCTTCCCCAATGGAGGAGACTCTCAACCTGGTTGTTTGACAAGTTTATGCAACCATGAACGCGCTTGGGAACTATTTGCCGCTACTGTTACATACAACCATCTCACTGGGCGTCAGTGCTCCAACACGTTGCAAATTTCACTGAACACTTGTAGAGGAGATCCATTAAATATGGGTAATGATATTTTAACGAAGACTGGGTAAGTTGTCACTATAATTACTATTTATTTTAATTATTTGTCTATTATTTTAATTGAATATTCAGTCATTCATGAATTTATCACGGCATATCAAGTCTTCACATGCTGTTAAATTTTGTAATATATTGGTCATGTAGAAAGAATGAATGAGGAAAGAGTGACAAAGCAAATTTATATGGCAGATGTGAACGGCCTAGTCGGGAAGGACGCCCTAGAAAAAAGTTTATCGACCAAATTGGCGATATTTTGAAAAGGGGCCACGTTAGAAGTACCCTTAACCGACGAGCATGTATGCATAGATATATGGATGTAAAGGAGGCGAATGAGGTATGTCAGATTCGTGCCAAATGGAAGTCCGTAGCCTCTGCCTACCCCTCTGTGTGACAGGCGTGAGTGTTTATGTATGTTATGTATGTATATTTATTTTCTAGAACTAAGTCTATTTCGGAACTCTTTACCTTTGCAAATCAAACGTATGTTCAATCCTTTTGATTTGTTTTAGAAGCAGATATATAATTATTATTCGTCTCTGTTTCTCCTCAAATTTATGGTTTCTAATCTTTATACTAATAAAATAAACTCATAAGTCTTTTAGACCATGATTTGATTAATCATTATAGTTCACCCTATGCGTTTATTTATCTCCTATTTAAATTAATTCTTTTTTTGGATTATTTAGAAGACGTTTCTGTGTAGCAATCAGACCGCCTTTTGTTTTCTCTCCATTTTTGTATTTTTTTGGTACTTGAATCTGTTTTAGTGAACAATAAAAACCATAAATTGTTTTTATTGGTCACCAAAACAGATTCAAGTAACAAAAAGAGGGAATAGTAGTGAGAGCCTACCAACTTTTACTTGACACATTCATAACAACCTTCACTATCACAAATGAAAGGTAGGGATTGACAAACATAGCTTTGTGAATTGCTATATGTTTTTTATAGTCATAGCTATATTATAGTTATAGCACGAGTGGGTCTGCTCCACCGGGGCAGAATCATGCTATCACAGATATCCAGCGTAAAATAGCAGCGGAATGCTGTAGTGTATTGTATGGTGAGTTTAGATAACCGTAGACCCTATTTAATGGCATTGAAATATTCCATCTTAGTCCTCAGGGATGACAACGCATTTGCATTATGATTCTTAATTTAGGATAAATGTGGCCACAGCATGCCATACCATTCAATTACTTTTTAACCTTTAAAATTGACTACGTTTCCTTACAATCAAAACTGTATCGAAAGGCAATCTAAATTAAGTCTAAATAGTTTCTTTAAAAACTTCATGACTATTTTTTGCAAACCTAGGGGTAAATTTTTTTATCAAATTTATGTGGAACCAATAATATTCGGAAAATAAAATAATATAAATAATGGGCTGGTTGGCAATTGCACGTTTTTATTATTTAGTTGTTCTTATAACAGTCAAAGACGCTGCAGTCCAACAGTTATCTTACTAACTGCTATTACCCATAGTGTGTTTTTATTAAGCCGGAAGCGCGAAGGGAGAGAAGCCACCGCTAGCTAATTGTATGTTCACCTTCGGCTATAACTCACATGGCACTTTCTTTTTTGTTAGAACAGTGAATTTTTTCGAAAATTTCCGAAGCACCAAAGCAGTTCTAATCAAAGCTACTACCTATATAATTGGGTTGACTTCATTCATTGTCTTTTACCCTTCCACCGTTTCAATTTTTGGCTTTATTTGAGATTTATGAGACATAAACTCAAATATTAACTATGTTTTACTCGAAAACTATGTAATGGTGGTATGCAGGTAGCATTAATTTTTAGTGAATGTGGTCCTCCGCCCTTGCTCTCTCCGCTTTCACTGCCCCTTCACGGGTTATAGAAGAGGGCGCTAACGAGCACGTTGATTAACTGATAATAAACGACGATCACGGACCATGAACAACTACAACACCAGAGGATTTTAAAGTGCTTTACGCAAATTTAAAAAAGAAGTAAGTTTGTTTCTAGAAGGTCCATAGATCGGGTCGGTCCGAAATATCAAGGCAACTCCACAAAGCAGCCATGCGGGGAAAAAATTTTGCCACCATCCCAATCCGTTGAAATGAATAACTGACCAAACTAATTTTTTAACTTATTTTCAGATCTGGATTGTATCGCTTGGACACTGGAAGAAGATACCCATTCTAAATATTATTCGACGATTGCTAAAAGCGATCTGACCTCAAATTGATTGATATCGATAGGTGTAAAAATAATATATAAAATTTTGTAAGCTACATATTTGTTTTCTTTATATTTATTTTTATAAACCAAGCCTTTCATAATAAACTGTAGCTCAATGAACCTTAAGTCATCATCGGTTTTGTTAAAATTTTATGAGACCACTATACAAAATCCTAACTTACTACGTTAATGGAAAACATCATGAGGAAACCTGTGTGTTAAAAATCTTCTCGTAAATTAAACGGGGCCTGTGCCCAGGTTTAAAACGTATATTATAGGCTGTAATATTACCCTAATAGAAACAGAAACTTTTCTATTCAATATGGAGTATAAATAATACTTATTGAAAGTCACTTTTTTCATATACCACTGGTTCGCAAAAAACCTCTGTCCTGGGAAGAACTAGCAAGAAACCCAACGGGATAATTATTTTTACATAAGAGCTTAAAAGAGCCTAAAAATAATGTATGTTACAATTAACAACACAAAACAATTTTTATAGGATAGTGTGACAAACGTCAGTTTTTGAGCGATCCCTTGTGAGACAGAATTAAGTTTTATGAAGTAAATTTTTTACATTGTTTTTTTTTTACATTTGATCAAGAATAATTTATTCAAAAAAATTTCTAAGTGTTGGCAATACAGATATAGGTCTAAAATTAGCGGGGTCCAATGTACTATCATATTTAAATAAAGGTATTACTTTATTAAGCTTCATTAAATCAGGAAACACACCAAATTCTATACTAGTGTGATTGTTATACTATGAATCGTCGATGGCCGGAGAAGAATTCAGTGATTTAGTTAATAAGATCGGAATATTAGTAAAATATTTCTCAAAAACCTTTGCAACGTCCTGATCTGTTTTAGTAAATTTATTGTTAAAACTTAACTGGTAGTTTGAATTGCGATAGTTGACTTTACTAGTTTCACTATTAACTATATTCCACGTCATTTAAATTTTAATAGAAACCGTCTTTATTTTGTTGCTCAAATACAAAGACTTGGCTATCAAGCCCACTCTTTTAAATATTTTTTACATATTCCCTTAACACTTCAATCTCTTAGCAGTCGAATTCGACCGCGGCGCTATTCTATCAAAATTCAAGCGCATAAATTCTATTTATACTAAGTAAATCTTTGATATATTATCTATACAAATAAATAGGATTGTGTCTGTTTGTAATGTCAAAATAACATCATTTTAGTAAATACATATTAAAGTATGTATGTGGTATACATATTATAACAAAAAAATACGTTTAAAAATTATTGTCCATCTGTATATCGGTCTGTAAGTCTGTCTATCTGTTTTGTTCTGGTTAATCACCGAAATAGCTGGACTGCTTTTGACAGGACTTGCATTGTCAGATAGTTAATGTTATAGGAAGTAACATAAGCTACTTTTATTTTTGAAAAACAATTAGGGTTGCGCAGAAGCAAAAAATTCAAAACCCATAGGTCCATCCAATCGTAATAAATTCCACGCGGACTAAGTCGCGATTAACAGCTAGTTTATTATATAAATCAGTTTTGAATAGTATGTTGGCTGTAAGTTATTACAACCGTTTTCCACGTATGTACATTTTAATATTTTTAGCTTTCACCGCAATAGCGATACTGACACCGAAAAATACTTAAGATTATCCATGGTTAATAATATTCCTCTATGGCGATGGCTAGAAGCAGAGCCTGACATCTAGGTTCTAATTAAAACAATAGGCACACTGCCAACAACTTATATTATTTATACTAGTAATTAATAGTGGTAGAGCCACGCGGCAGCTTTGCTGTTGCACGTATGGGCCGGCTCAAACCAGGGTGGTACCATGACCTCACAGAATACCGGTGTGAAGTGGAAGCTCTGCTTCCGTATTACTTCTGGTGAGTGCAGGTGGCCGGAGGCCCAAATCTACCCCCCCCCCCCATCAACATGGAAGCGGAATTAAATGATAAACTACCCGAAGAGGGTACCAGCACCCCTGGAGAATCCCCCGCTGAGCATCCACGACCACGTTTCTTCACTCCTGAGCGTGGGTGCTCAGGCTGCCCCGCGTTTTCTGGGGGGGGGGCGGCAAAATTCCGCTCAAGACCACAACTACTCAGGGCAAACGGAGCAACAAGACCAAGGCAACCTTTGCCACGCTATCCGTGAATTTCTGCAATATCAGGGGACATCACTCTAACCTAAACGCCGTCCACGTTATCAGCCGGAGAAGACACCTGCGTCCATGAGACGCAGGTGTCATCTCCGGCTGATATCTCGTATCTCTCCTACCCGGGGTATAAAACTGGGCCACTCCTTTGTGCCTCGGGCTGGAGTGCTTTGTGCCTCGCCAGAGAAAACATCTGTTCTCGAATCTGTCTTGAAGGTTCGGACCTGTCCACCCTTAGGCTACGCGTAGAGAGCGATGAACATCCGCGCGTCTACGGGCGCCTCTATAGGTCCCATAGCGGTAATGCCGAAACAGATCGACTCTTCGACCACGTCCAAATGGCTACAGAAAGAGGCTACAGCATATCCCCTCCGCAGAGATCGTGATCCTTGGCGATTTTAACGCCCACTACGCCGAATGACTTTGTTCACGTTCAACCGATCATGCTGGGAGATCTGGTCATGATTTTGCCTAGGCATATGGTCTTACACGACTGGTTACTTCTCCTACGTGGATTCCAGATGTGGAGGATCACGCACCTTCCCTGTTAGACCTTCTGCTGACCTCTCATCCGGACGGATATCGGTTTTTCGTCAACACCCCTTTAGGCTCCTCAGATCATTGTCTTTCCCGGAGTGCGGTGCCACTCACGCTGAAATCACGGTAGCATTCTGCAGGCTGCAGCCGTGTTTAGCACTATAGGTCAGCCGATTGGGATAGGATGCGGTCTTTCTTTGCATCCTACCCTTGGGGTGGGTTTGCTAATCACCGGATGATGCAAACGTTGTTGCTGATTCTGTCACTGATATGGTACTTTAGGATATGGAACTTTTTATTCCTCCCTCTGTAGTGCGCATTGGAGGTAAATCTCAGCCACGGTTAAGTCGCTCCTGTAAAATAGCCTCGTGCTATAACCAGGATTGCTACCGGGCCTGAGCGGACGCTTCAACGACCTGGGATGTAAACATCAACGCCCTAAAAAAGAAGTATAATTCCGCCTCCCGGTCCTTCAAAAGAGTCATTGCCAAGGCAAAGTCAGAGCACATAGGCAGAATTAGCGAGAAACTAGTTTGCCTTCCTTCTGGAACCCATGCATTCTGGTCTCTCGCCAAGACTGTCCAGGGGAATTCTGTCAGCCATCTCTTCCATTTCTCCACAGAGAGGATGACTCACTGGCCCATACCGCAAAGGAGAAAGCCGATCTGCTAGGCTCTTTCTTTGCATCCAACTCGACTCTCGATGACGGGGGAAGTACGCCGCCGACCATCGGTGTGAGTGCACCATGCCAGAAGTGCAGTTCACACAGCGCTCGGCTTGCAAAGCACTCCTCTTCCTGGACAAGTCGAGTGGGCCTGACGGAATCGCCCCAATTGTGCTGAGGACGTGTGCTCCAGAGTTGGCACCGATTTTAACGCGTATTTTCCGGTACTCCGACTCCCTGGGCGTAGTCCCAAAATCATGGAAGACGGCTTTTGTCCACACGATCCCTAAAAAAGGCGACCGCTCAGACTCGTCCAACTACCGGTCTATCGCCATCACCTCCTTGTTCTCCATGGTGGCTCTACCACGTAGAGTGCTTGTGTGTTAATGAAAGTGCTTGCACTGCTGTATTTGGGTTCTAAGACAATAGAAAGCTAGAATGATTTCAGGCTATGAGGTATACCATCTTGCTTATCGGAGGTGACAACTCGTCTATAGCCTGTCATTTATATTCGGTTGTGGGTGTCGTTGGGCTCAAGTAGCCACTTACCTTCAAGTGGACTGTAACTTCGTTTCGTATTTTAATTTTAATTTCAAAAAAAAAACACACCCACATCTTTTCAATACCGATACATAAAATTATTATATTGAAATAATTAATATCATAAAGATAAATTCGGAAACTTGTATAATTTTCTAGCAGATATTAGAGCAAAATAAATTTGATGGCTAGCAGGTAAATTATCGGTTACCATATTACTGCACAATTCAAGAATACTTGGAGAGGATTTGGAGTTTAATGAAATATATTATTTTATGAGAAATTATTTTATATCAACAAGTTCTAAATAACACACAGCAATAATCACAGTCTAGCTCCGATTAGTTATGTAAGGGTAAACAAGATGACATTTACTAGCCTGGAGTGACAACGTTAAAGCTGTTTCAAGGTCGGTAAAGCAGATGGAGCCAAGATTTGTACAAAACATAAACTGTTGGTTTTCGTATCTGATTGCATTATATTTCTTGTCCTCGTGTCTACCGATGGTACCTTTGCGTTTATGCTTTAGGACTATAATATTTCCTGCGCAGTTGTTTTCGATGAAGTTCGCCGTCGTTATGGTTGCAATACTATTTAGTAAATTTTTAAAGTTAGTATGAAGAAAAAAGATTTTCAGTAGATAATAAATTTATTATATTTTATAATATCTAAAATGGATAGATGCTTCCAGTTTCCAATTGATAAAGACCCAATCTGTAAATTAAAATAAACATCAATTTAACTTTTACATATCATTGAATGATAGTAAGCTTGTCACGTTTATTTATACATTTAAATGTATTTTAAGCCAATGCACAATATACTTCTATTTGTACTTACAAGTCACTGGGAAATATTTACATCCTATCGGTGCCATAAGTGGCGACTGTAGAAAATGCCAGAAAATTACACAGACCGACGGTGGGGAGCAGAATCAAAGTAGCGAGCAGTCGTTTTTATCTTTATTTAGATGTAGAGGTGACAAACGGACACACTTTGTACCTGATAGCATATATCCTAGTCTATACAAAATGCAGATACGTTGTGACCTCTGAGGACCAAGAAAGGTGGATTACCTCCTTACCAGCAAAATGATCCTTCGATTTTACACAGAATACGGCAATATTATGCTGCTATTTTACGCTGACATTTTGTGAAACGTATTTAAGTTCTAATTTAACCCTTCAATCCCCATAAAAATCCCACGCCGTCGCATGCGCCCGGCAAATCTCGAGCGGTCGCATGCGACCGCACCCACCCGCAGCACTTAAAACCATTAAAACTTATATGTAAAGACTACGAATCCAACCGCTTGAATTTTGACGGAAAAGCGCCACGGTCGAATTTGACCGCTAAGAGATTGAAGGGTTAAATTTAATATTCCCTTCCTTCAATTTATTATTTTAGGCTGTGTAAAACCACCAATATCTGTCTTTTGTTATATTATCACATAAATATGAATTACAAAAATTAAGTAAAAAGTATCTGTACGTACCCTCTCTTGTTTATGTTTCCATTACCCATTTCAAATAATTTTCCTTGACAAGTGTTTGATGAAATCATTTGTATTGAATAACATTCTCTTCCCGCCAAATGATTATCGGTAACTGTAGCAGCAAATAGTTCCCAGGATCTATTGTGATTGCAACTAGTTGAAGAACAACCTGGCTGTGAACGTTCTCCATTAGGGTAAAAATCTGCATCGCCTATAGCCATATTCACTGTTGAATCCACACCATTAGTATGAATTACTTCAACGTATATGCCGTCATTTTTGTTTAATCGGTTGTTATTTAAATACCAAATAGGACTTATTAGATCCAAGCCTGGAAAATTGACATTTTATAATTGCCGTATAAAATATCAGCAAGAATCTATAATTGATGTCAATAAAATTGTTCTGGATTTGAATGAGTTGTGTGATTTTTTTGATGATCATTTTCTTTTGTTAGCAGCCTCTGTCCTGTTACTTGTGACACTTACATGATTCCTTATTTCTGATACATTCAAGACAACGTTTGCTCTAACTAAATTGAATTCTGAGTTATAAACTGATAAATTGACGTAAATACTGTTAGAAATTTGTCTGTTATAAAAAAAAATCATTTTTATCTACGCATCACTTCTATAATTGATTATAAGAAGTAAGAAAATTTCCTCCAAATAATTGCAGAGCACAATACATCCATCCAATATATGATATATATATATATATATATATATATATATATATATATTGATTTTCTAATAGATAACCGGATGGTAGGCAATGTATTTGTATATGTTTCAAGCACATTTTGCTCTTCTAAATTCCTATTGAGATGTAGTTCTCAACGATTAGGCATGTAAATATTAACAACATACAAAAACTATTTTTGTTAATATGGTATTTTTTCCTACCGCTGAATTCTTTGTTGTGGTATAATTTTTGAATGCAGAACAGCCTTTGTTTCGCCTGCAGTATACCATACTAATTTTAAAACGACGTTTAGTGAAATTTGTAAAATTGAGTTTTCCGCAATGTGTTTATAAATGCGTAAATATAATTATGTGCAGGTATTTTCACATTGTCCGGATTTCCATACGTCCGGAGTAAATTAAATTATTAAATAAATTATAATATAAACGCTAATTTATGAAGAATTCGAAACTTGTTATATTTTATTATATATATTATCTTGATATATTTTAAGCAAGCGACCCGCGTCGGGGTCACCTGGATAGAATATATTAATAAGCCGTTATAAAGATTTAAGGTAATGAAAGACTATTATCAATGTTCATTATATTTTGGGGACTATCAACATACAGGGAATTAATTACAAAAGCTCAAAAACAGTATATTCAAGCTATATGTGGGATAAAGCCTACAGAAAGTTGCATACCATACTTTAGATCTCTTAAGATATTAACATTACCCTGTATTTATATACTAGAATCGTGTATGTTTGTAAAATGTAATCCGGAACTTTTTGATATAAGAGTACAACCATCTTTGGTTAACCTTCGTCCTCGAAAGCAAAAAAATCCAGACAAATGTTTGTAAAACTGCCTTTATGAAAAAAGTGTTGTTGAAATGGCCCCTAAATTATATAATAAATTACCTGATCACATAAAATGTTATAATGTGCAAAAATTTTAATCTATTTAAGTAAATTTCTTATAGATGAATGTTATTATAATTTCAATGAATTTCTATTTACTAATAATTTAAATATGTAATTTAATAATTATATTTTGACATCTAAATTTTATTATTTTGATTTGTTTTTATATACCTATATATTTCATTTTATGATATATGGATATTGTCAACCTTGTTAGCTGTGAAAACGAATAAAATGATTGATTGATTGAATGTTTTTTTTTTTTCAAAATATATGTAAGATTTTCATATAAAATGTAGCCAAGATTTACGCCCGGATAGATAGATAGATAGACAGAAAGATATGAAAAAATAAGCATAGACCCTTCAGTGGTCAAAAAGTCGGGATAGTACAGCTACCGCAGATGTCAATTAATTCACTGTGTTGCCGGTTTCGTAACCCGGTCATATTTATGGAAAGGCTTTTTGATAGACAAAACTAGATTACACATATTGTTTAAACTGTAATTCGTTGATAGGTTTTAAAATTTACCAATCGAAATCTTCAATAAAATCACTCCAATTCAGTGCTTGCTCATTTTATCTCGTAGTTATTGTTTTCTTGTTTATTATTGCTGAAAATATCAGAGTACCGAGAAAAATAAATTACGTTTAATATTTGAATGTACTTTTGTGTCTTTTCATTCACTTTTGTTACAAAATTAATGTTTTTTAAATATATTTTACAAAAACTGGGTACCCTCATATTTGAACAAGTTTATTACTTTGCTTTTAGCAGTTATTTTTATATTATAATTTGAACTTAGGTGACGACAACGTTTTTATTACAGTTTTTATATAAACCACGTTATTATTACCATATAATACAAGAAAACACGCATTAAGTAAAATATGAAACTTTTTTGGCGCGGGCAGAAGATAGCAGCAATGGCGTTTAATGTTCAAGAGATTTTATTTTACGGACAAAGACTTCAATTTTATAAAAGCGGAAAACTATCCGAAATTAATGACCATAAATACCAAACTGGCGAAAAATAGCAACATTCCCAGTATAATGGATGGTATTAACTTTTTTGAATCAACCTGGTGGTGGCTTAATGAAATAAGTTGAAGAGATATAAGGAAACAATTACATATTAGATTTAAAATTACATGTTGAATGATACTGTTGTAGGTGTAGCTCCTTGAAGTAGTTCTTATATCTCACTATATTTTTGAGGCATTGATTATAGTTAGTTAGTAACGTACAGAAACTCGATTTGCTAAAAATGCTTGTTTCGAGGGAAAATTAGGCCCGCAATTATCCGATCGAAATACCTTTTTTAACCACTGCACCTCCAAGCTTTCAATGTTTATATTTTTTTCATGAAAAAATAATTACCGGTAATACGCGCAATTCTTTCATTTAGCTCCCTGCCAGCATTTCCAACAACGTGAGATCCCAAGCTAAAGCCAACTAAATGCATTGAATCGAATGAAGCCCTAGTAACTTTGTTCAGAAAAGATAAGAATTTTCCTAAATTTTGACCAACTTCTGGTATTTTTGCAATTGCACTAAAGTATCCTGACATCGCAACTTGGCTCCAATCCAAAATTATAACATTGTTATCGCCATTTTCGAGGAACGCTAAAATATGAATTTATAAATTTATACATAAGAAATAAAATACCTACTGAAACCATACACATTAGTAACATATAATCATATTATATATTAATATATAATATGCAGGAAATCGATGGATATAGGTGACTCAATACTATGCTTTGTAGCATTATTTGAGGGAAGTCTACGTTCAGCAGTGTACATTACAACGGTTGTAATAAATGAAAGAATGGATATAAACATAATAATAATCATCCACCATCATCAACCATGCTGCAGCTATATTAGTAGTATAATTGTAGCGCGAATGGGTTAGTTTGACCGAGGCAGGACCACGCTCTCACAGAATACCGGCGTAAAATAGCATCCTAACGCTGCTGTGTTTCGTATAGTGAGTTTAGAGAACTGGAGACGCTTTATACTGGAAATGAGACATTCCATCTTAGTCCTCACGCAGCAACGACTTACCATCAGGTGGACTGAGTGCCTGTTTATCACCCTTATCCTATAAAAAAATCCTGAGCAACCTACATCCATCGACTCACTGCATCTCTCACTGGTCGTCATTCCATTTAATGGTGGACCGCGGTACCGTTGGACTTCCTTTACCTTTACTACGTACCGGTAGCGGTACAAGTTATCGATTGTTTGAGCTATATGGTCGGTCTATTGCCATTTCTGTTTACTTATCTTTTTTTAAATAATAAAAATCTAATATTAAAGTTATAGTCTAGAGGCTTTTAGGACAATTCAATTTCCGACGAGTTACGCCAATGAGTGTTGGTGGACTTCACATGTCTTTGTTATGTTTATTTTTCTTGTTTCACAGACATTCAGGTTTACTCACAATGTTTCCTTCACCGCACAGCAAGTGGTAAATCAGCACTTAAAATTTCATTTGTGCCGGCAGGTATCGCACCCAGGTTACTACTACACTATAAAATGTACAGTGCTTAGCCTCTGAGCTTCCACGGTGCTCTTTCAAATAATAATAAAGGTATAATAGAATTTAAAAAAATTACTATTATTTTTGTTTACTACCATTATCATTTCAATGCTAGATATTGGGTCTCATTTATAGTTGCCTCAATCACTACCTTAGCAAACCTTTAATGTTGCTTGCTTTGAACATTTTAAATCTGGCATACATAAAAACAAGATAGTTACCGTTTTCGAAGATCATAGATCTTACGAGCGTTTCCCTTAGATAATTCTGAAGACCATAGAAAGAGATCTAGAGAGACACAACATGGTAGTGTATAATTCTATATCTATTACTAATAATGTACCCTTAACTTTTACCATTGCTAATAACTGAATTCAGATTTGTATGCCGATTGCCGAGCCAGCCATGAGCTACTACTATAGTTGGAACGTTAGGATTATAATTAGATGAAGTAATTGTATCAACATCGTCCATTACGAGAGTCTGGGAAGAAGTTGGTTTCAACCTGAAAATATATGTATAAAATATCATCAATATTTATTTTAGATATCGTTGCAACATTGTTTGCAAATAACCTGGCGCATAAGATTAGTACCTGGGTGCCAGAGCTTGGTTCTGTACGAGTTACTTTTTTAGTATATAATCCTGTATGTATCGTATTAACGCCGTGTTATTTGAAACAAAGCATTTAAGGTATTAAATGTTAAATCTAGCTTTTTTCCCCGGTATAATAATGTACTCCAGACCGAATTTCGGCCACGACGGCCTGCCTCAACGGAGGCTAGCCATCGGCACAGAACAGGATTATAGTGCCCAAGTGTATACGCAAGCACAGTTGCACTCTCTATTCCCTTACTCTCGTAATCCAATGGGACGGTAAACCGACACGACCGGGAGAGAGATCAGGCGCAGAACCAACGGCTTTACGTGCTTTCCGAGGCACTGGGGTGAGACACCGCCAACTTTCTGACTCCGGTCAGCTACTGAGAATTTCTTGACAGAAAAACTCAATAATTGATTTTTTGGCCCGCCGCAGGATATGAACCCAGGACCTCATGATCAGCAGTCGCACTACTACAAACACTAGACCAACGAGGCAGTCCGCCCGTCAGTTTGCCCCGAATATACATACGTAATTAGTATGTTCTTCTTTTATTTGTATCAAACTAACCGTACCGTGTAAACAGCAGATATTGATTAAAATCCTTTGCATCTAATTCCTTATATGAGTTAGCATTAACCCATTCGTCTAAGTTGACATGTAATTTTACATTTTCATCTCCTTCTTGAATATGCACCAGGTTTTCTGGTATAGCAACCGCAACGTAAACTGTAAATAAAATAAAATGAAAAGCATATATTTTAGTTCATAAATGTATATAAAATGGAGACCAAAAATTTCAAGTTATATTTTGTATGTGGGTAACGGATGTTTAACTTAAATAGTTTAATATAAAACTATATGAAATCTTGAGGTGATATATTTTCCATATTTTTTCCATAATATCGCCGTAAAGAGGAAAATTTAAAAAAAAACTTCATCGAAATCGGATTATTTTTCGATTTTCTAGAGCCAAAAACGAGATGACAGCTGTAGTATAAAATTACCATCCTCTTTATTGAGGTGTTTTATATAATAAAGTATGAGTAAAATGTTCTGCGTTATGTATATTAACATAATTTTTTTAATATATTTAAAATTTCTAACATAGTCTTTGTTGCCGTACTGTGGTGACGGCAAAAGATAATTTATATCATCACCTGTGAACGCAAGCATTCACTGATCAACCCATTATACCTGCTGAAAGTGGCTATTAGAGTAAACCCTTTAATGTAGAAGAGGCCTTTAACTGGTAGTGAAAGGTTACCAGCTATTAATGTTGTCTCGTTCGAATAACATTAATCACTCTTGTAACATTAAAATACAGTAAAAAATTTGTTGTAAATATTGTAATATTTTTTATAAAATCATTAAAATGTAATTGTTTATTGCGCATTATTTATTCAAAGCATTTATTTTATATTTATTAAAATGTTTAATTTGTTAGTAAAAATACCTATGTATGGGTTAATACATTGGATAAGTAAATAATCATAGCTGTAGCAGTATCTAATTTCAAATAATTTAAGTAATTATTATTCAACTATACAACTTTTGCAGATAATTATTAGTTTAAATTAACATTGTGTGCAAGTGAATGAGTTATTACATATTCTTTACTGTCAATTTAATAACTAAAAACAATATATAATTTTCTAGACGCGAATCTTATGCCACCAAATATCTAAACTAGCAAGCAGACTTAATTCTACAGCGCATGCTGTAAAACAGATTACAACGTTGAAGTAGCTAGACTATTTTTGTTGTCTTATGGTATTTTGCTGAAAGGAAACAGGACTAACGTTGAAATTACAATTGTTTTGAAGAGAGGGCCATAAGAGAAATCTACGATTTAATTAGATATATTATCGCGATATTTAGGTGGTAGCGTAGATGGTTACGCGACTAACTTTACTTTACATTTTGCACTTCTTAAAACGCTCTTAAAATGGGTTTACAACAATAAAAAACTAGATGTAGTGTCATATATAACTTAATTTACTTTATGTTGTTGTACATAAGAGCAATCTACGATATAAATTCTAAAGAGCCTCCAAAACAAAAACAAATATTTATAAAATATAATGAACATTAAACAAAACATAAATAATTAAAAAAAATATATTTATTCTGTACATAGTACTGGACATAACCAAAATTCTATACTTCATAAATACGCTTTTTTCATTTTTACTTGATCAAGTAAACAATTTTTTATTATAAAATAAATTTCTTATTATTTTCAGTTTTTTTTTCAATATATTCATTACGTAATTACAATTTTGGAGTAAATGTAAAGTCGTTCCTACTATTGTTTGAGCCGCCGGCTGAGACCCTATCTATCGACGCTTTTTTTTTTTTTTTTTTTTTGCGCCCGAAGCAAATATGGGCAACCCTCCGGAAAGCGGGGGAGGGAGGTGGTGAATGCTCATAGCATACCACGCAGCCGGCTGCGTGGTTATGTGGCGACTTTTACCCACTAAACACCACCTTTTTAGGAAATGGCTTAACGATCTGACTGGAGATCTCTAAGCCGTATACGAACGCGACCCTCCTTGGCAGAAAGGAGGGCGCAAGCGGCGAAAAGCCGCTTAGAAGAGTGCCTAACTAGGCAGATTAATGGATGTGTTATGTAGGCTCGGCCCGAGCCGCCAGGAGGCAGTTCAGGTCAGCCGAAAGCTTGTTGGGGGGGGTCCGAGAGAGAGTTTCTCGGTCTGCGCACACTATAGCGAGTGTGGATAGGGGCTGCATAGGCAGCTGTCTCACGAATGAGATGATTTGGGTGGGACTCTGAGGCTTTGAAAAATCTCTCAGAGAGCGATTTGAGGAACTGCTGGATTGTTGGGAGCTCTAAGTCTCGATGGAGGTCGGCATTACGGACATAATAGGGCGAGTTAGTGGCCCTACGACAGAATAGATTTTGAACTATTTGGAGTTCATTGATGGCTTTGGGTTTAGCATGTGCAAAAATGGGGGCCGCGTAGGTCATGACAGGTCGTATGCAGACCTTATATAGGGTTCGCTTGTTGCGGAGGGACATTTTACTGTGTCTGCCCAACATGCTGTTGAGCCTACCCATGTAAAAACGTGCGGTGCGAGTAACCTTCTTGATATGGGGCTCGAAAGTGAGCCTTGCATCAAGGGTGACGCCTAGGTATTTGGCTTTAGTTTGCCATGGGACAGGGGTTCCTAACATCCTGATTGGCGGAGTGGTGGTGAGACGGCGTCGTTTATATTCGAAGCAAACGGCGGAGCTTTTCTCCGGATTTACGTCGATACGCCATTTTTGGAACCAAGCTCCTAGGTCGCTTACTGACTTTTGGATCTTGTTCCGAATCTGTGGTAATGAGTTGCCTTTGGAGTAAAGGGCTGTGTCATCTGCAAAGAGGGCTAGTTTGACACCATTCGACGGGATAGGGATGTCGTTGGTGAATAGTATGTATAGGAGGGGAGCAAGCACAGAGCCTTGAGGGACACCGGCTTTTATTTGACGGGTAGAGGATAGCGTGCCTTCGTGTCTAAAACGAAAGGTACGATCCTTTAGATAGGAGGCTACAAGGCGAACGAGACGATCTGGGAGGCCTAAGTCGTACAGTTTGTAGATAAGGCCCTCGTGCCAGACCCTGTCGAATGCCTTGGCAATGTCAAAGAAGACCGCGATGGTTTTTTGACGGCGAGGGTAAAAACCGCTGAGGATGTATTCCACTATGCGGTGAACTTGTTGGGGGTACGAGTGTTTGGCTCGAAACCCGAATTGTTGTGGGATGACAAGAGGGTCGCCGTCTGTGGGAAACAAATGGCGCCTCAAGCGCACGAGAATGACTCGTTCGAAAAGTTTGCCCATGGCCTTGAGGAGGCTGATGGGACGGTGATTGGAGGGGGAGGTGGAGAGGTTTGCCTGGCTTGGGAATGCCAATGACAGTTGCCTCTTTCCAAGAGGTGGGAAAATAACTGAATTCGAAGCAGGCGTTAAAGATAATGGCCAGTAAGGCGATTACCTGCTCCGGGAAGTGTTTGAGGGCTTGGTTGGAGATGCCATCCGCACCCGGTGCTTTTTTGGGCTTAAGTCCTTTGATGGTAGATGAAATCTCATCTTTGGACACAGTGATAGGGTCAGAGGCGGTAGGGGGCGAGTTCCTGCGTCGGACCTCGTCCTCCACTTGTTGAATGTGTAAGGGGTCAGTGGGTTGTGAGCTAGGAGAGCATTGAGCGGCAACGCTGTCCGCGAAGCACTCAGCCTTTTCTTCGTCTTCGAAGGCAATGGAGCCGTCGGGACGAGACAGAGGGGGAGTATGGGTTATAGCGTCTATCCGGAGGGCTCTCGCCATCCGGTAGTACGCTGTGTGAGAGGGAGAGATTTTCTCTATGAGATTGCCCTTTTCGTGGTCTCTGTAGTCTTGGAGACGGTAACGCAGTTTGCGTTGAAGGCGGTGGGCCGCGAGTCTATATTCGGGAGTGGGATAGCGTGCAGCTCTACGGAGGGCAGCTTTTTTGGCTTTTAACAGGTTGCTAATATCTAGGGGAAGACTAGTTTTAGCAACCGGGACAACTTTTTCATTCTCTTTAAGAGAGGATGTTATAAGTGAGGTGAGATTTTCGACCGCTGTGTCTATTTTCCCCGCACTGTCGAGGGCGTCAGAGGAAAGGGTTATGGGAGGGTCCGGAGAGTCTATAGCCGAGGCTAGAGACTTTTTGAAGCCCTTCCAGTTGGTGTAGGTTTTGGAAGTGGGAGTTGGAGATGGCTGATGGCCAAGAAGGAGGGATACAGGACGGTGGTCGGATCCTAGATCGTCGAGAGGCTCGATTGCTCTAAGGTTAAGGGAAACTCCTTTAACTAGAGCAAAATCTAGCACGTCAGGAGCGTAGGTAACAATGTCGGGATAGTGTGTGGCAGTGAGGGGGCTATAGACAGTCAGGTCGAGAGACTGAGTGATATTGAGCAGCATCCTGCCACTACTGGTAGTAGTGCGGCAGGCCCATTCAGTATGCTTGGAGTTAAAGTCTCCAAACATAATGACTGAGTCGCCTAATGCAAGGATGGCTTCGAAGTCACTCTTGACGGGGAGGGTTCCGCTAGGGATATAGCAGGAGGCTATAACGATTGACTGGTGTCCAGTCATGGCTAGTCTAGTGATAGTGGCTTCCATACTGGTAAGCGACGGAGTAGATATGTGGGAGCAATGAAGGGACTTTTTGTGATAGATGGCAGTACCGCCGCCTTTGCGGTCGGGTCTATCGTTACGTATGAGTGAATAGTTTTTAATAGTAAGGCCTTTAGAGACCTTGGGGCTGAGATGGGTCTCCTGTAGGAGTAAGAGATCGGCTTCGCGATCTCGTAGAAAAAGCCTAAGCTCTGGGAGGTTATTTCGCAGACCGCGGATATTGAATGAAACAAGCGATAAACCCTTTGGTTTGATACGACCGTGAGATATTGCGGGAGCAGAGGGCTCCGGCATAGTTAAATTACAAGGACCTTAGAAGGTTGATGTGCTCGGTAAGAGCAAGGAGGCGGGCCTGAGGGGACTGAGCTGTGCTCAGTTTATCCGCAAGGATGAGGATTTCGTCCAAATTGATTCTATTGAGTGTGTTATACACTAGGTTTAGGGACTCTACAACAGAGTCTGTCTGTTTTTTAGGGTCGGCGGAGGGCCGCGGGATATTTGATTCCTTTTGGAACCAGGGGTTTATTGGGAGCGGCGCTGGCTGAGAGAGCGGGAGGCTCATAAGGGGCCGAGGAGGGCCCTGAGGTGGCCGATAGGGGCCCTGTGGGGCCCGATAGATGCCCTGTGTGGGCTGAGATGAGCCCTGAGGGGGGCTGAGGTAGGGGCTGGCCCTGGCTGGGCTTGCGGCTTACAAGAGCCGGGAAGGTTCGGTCATTGACCTGTGGTGGAGCTTTGCGGCTCGGAGGTGGGCGAGGGGCGCGAGGGCAACCTCTAAAATTGGCCGGATGGCCTGTTTGTCCGCAGAGGACACATGAGGGTGGGGATTCGGCGTTTTTGGGCCGTGGGCACTCTTTCGAGTGATGGGGTTCTAGGCACTTAATGCACCTGGGTGGAGCTGAGCAGTTGGCTGCCGCGTGACCATAAAGTTGGCAGCGGTGGCACTGCGCTGGGTAACCGCGCCGGTGAGGGGCTTCGACCTTAACACGCGACAGGCCGCACACAGTGCGTACCTCG